ATAATATACAAATTCTGTAGTAAGAAAATTTGGTTATACATATATATGGAAATTCTATCAAATTTTTTACAACTGAACTATAGTGATCAATCAAAAAAAGGAAAATAGAATAAAAATTATTATTATTATTTTTGGTATTATAAATATTTGGTACTTAATTATAAAAATCAAAATTAATATATGTTTCAAGAATAACTTTATGTAACACGCGTATATGCATTTAAAACGTGATAAAATGAGCGATATAAATCATTTTTGCGAAATGTTATAACTTTATATAACTTTCAAATAATTTTCTAATTTGCAATTCCTTGTAAATATATATATATGCAAATTCTCATCTGCCAAAAAAAAAGTTTCTAAAATAAATCTTCAAACTATCATTCATTAATTTTGCACACTTTTTTTCCAAACTAAGCAAATTCTCGCGGTTTTGACTAATTAGAAATAATTAAAATCGAAATAAAATATTCAATATATAAAATTTTAAGTGAAAAAAATACAAAACAATCCTACTAAAAATATTATTTAAAAATAAAGTGAAAATTATAATATCGTACGAAACTATAATTAATTATAATTGCCATTTTTATTGCAAATTATATATTTCCTTAAAACTCAATAATTGAAACTGTATAAGATTATTTAAAACCATTTTTTTTCCTCTTTCTGTTTAAAAATACGATTGTTCTAAAATTATCAATGAAAATTAACATTTTATTGAACTATCAATGTGTTAAAACTTCTATACTGACTAATGCTATACATGTGCCTAAGTTCCGACGTTCAAATATGAAAGAAAAAAAAATTTTTATTTTATTACAAAAATTATTACTTTCTGGCAAAAAAAAAAATTTAGTAACGTATTTTTTTTTTTCATTTCTATAGTATTGTAAAAATTACGAAGCAAAAGTACGCAACGTTTATGATAAACGATTTTTAAAGAATTTTTAAAAATTAAAACTTCTATAATTTTTTTTGCCTAAAAAGTAGAATAGAATTTTATTTCTTTGACAATACAAAATATTTGTTTCTTGTCCAGATACAGCCATATTTACATTTACATGCCTAAGAAGTATTTCTTGTAGTTTTCACTAACCAAAAAATTATTCAAAAAAAATAAATATATTTTTTAGGTAAACAATTCTATAATTTTCCGTGTTAAATAAAAATCGATTTCTAATCATTGGGTACTTATCAGCATCATTAAAAATTCAGCAAAATTCAGTAAAAAAACATCTTTCAAATTAATAAAAAAAAAATTAGAAAATAATTATAAACATTTCCGTAAATTTTTCAAGAAAGAAGTATAACTTAACTATCAGTAAAATGGGCTCGTAAAAAAACATAAAAAAGAAATTTATGAAGACATATTTGTCACCTGCCTGGTTGTAAGTGTCAAGGCTTGGTTAGACCTTTCCTATATATATATATATATATATATATACACTTAATGTTTTTTTTCTTCTCTTTTTTCATTTATGAATAACTTGTACTTATAAACATTACAAAACTCTCTATAAGTAACTTGGCACTTGTTAGTATAAGTTGACTTTAATAAACTAATATATTTAGTGGACTCAGAAATTACTCAACATTGTTGTAACATACATATATACTGCATATTTTACATATATATATATATATATATATATATATATATATATATATATAGTAAAATGTACTATATCTGCGATATTCTTATGAATGTATCTATGCATATATATATGTATACATAATATGTACATAATTCGGTGTACCCACAATTGCCGAGGCCATAATACTTAAGTGCTTCTTCCTTGAAAATATAAAATATTTGAACACGCTAAACCGAATGGGTGTTTAATGATAATTCAAGATTTCGTTTCAATTTGCTAAGCATTTTTAAAAAAAAATTATTTCTCTTAATTTCATAACAGAAATTGTGATTAAAAAATTTTTTATAACATTTTTTCTGATAATTAATGAAAATAAAATCTGTTTTATTATTATTATTATTATTTTATTATTATTAATACCAATTGTCATAATTCCGACTGCTTCTACTAACAGCAAAAAAATTTAATATGATTTGAAAAATGCCCCTACAAATAAAATATAAAGTAACTTTTACTATACTGAGAAAGTAAATCCTAAACTGTTTGGAATTTCCGGTTTTGGAGTAAAAAAAATACTATTTAAGGAGTAAAGTATAAAAATAAATCCAAGATTTTCAAATATAAAAATAACTTAAGAGGTTGTGTAAATATTTCCATTTACACGCTTGTCAGGTGAAAAATTCAATTACAAAACAACTCTAAAGGGAGCAATAATATGCCAAGGGTCGAGGGGTCCCAATAATATAGGAAATTTTTTTTTTTTTTCTTTATTTAAATCAATTGATTACATATATCTACTGGTAATTCTTATCGAGTGCATTTATTTTCATAATTAGCGTTTAGCACACTCCGAGTTTAGCAAAGATTACCTTTTACGCTTCTTAATGTCATTTAATCTGTTGCAATATCTTTTTTCATCAAAGGAAATCGTTCCTCGTTAGTCTCAATTTTTTTTCCCCTCACATCCTATATATATATTATTTCTCAACATTAAAAAAGAATTTTAAATTTTGCGAAAAAAATGCCAAGATTTTATTTTAATTTTTTTTTATCTAAAAACTGTAAAATATTAAATTAATTTAATTATTTTGATAAAAATTAATTTAATTTTTTTAATTGGGGAAAATTTTTCGAAAAGTTTATTTATTATCATCAATATTGTTTTATTCGAAAAACAGTTATTATTTTCTAAGAATAAAACACTATTGTGTCTATAATATATTGCACGACTTTAATATGATCTTCTCTCAATATATTGCTGACGTACCATGACACAAGCAATTTTATTCATGATGTAACATCAAACTACGATTAACAGAATTCTAAAAAGCATCAATTTAACCTATACAATATTCTGTTTCTAATTTTTAAATTGGTAATAAATTTTTTTCTACCAAAAAAAAATTTTTCTCCGTAATTAAGAAAAAATCAAATTTAAAAGACAAAAATTTTGAAACTTGCAAAGTGAGTCGTTAACAAGAGAAATTTTCAACTGAGCCTCTAGCTTAGCGGAAACCCACTTTGCTCAAGTGCACTTCAAACTTCAATTCCTCTTGTAATTAAAAAAATTTTATTTACAAAAAAAATAATAAAAAAATGTTCGATTAACACAAACATTAATGTTTTTTAAATACCACGTATTTTTCGAAAAAAAGGAAAAATTCTAAAATATTGAAAAATTCATATAAATGTAATTAATTAATTATGTAATTAACACTTTCATTCAGGTTTCTTTTCTTTTTTTATTCTATCAAGGTAAAATACGCACATGTTTTGAAAGATATGACTGACTATAAAATTATTCGTTGGAAAAAGTACCTTCTACTTTTATTAAAAGTCTCGTTTTTTGTATTTCTTACGCAGATGTGACCCTGGATCAAGGCAATAAAGCGATTATGATAATGAGTAATTGCGGAGCTATGAATATTGTCACTAATGAAAAACCCGATTGAAAACTTGCAACAAAAAAAAAAAAAAAAAAAAAAAATGAAAGAGGAAACTTAAAACATAAAAATCTTCAACATTCTAAATGGCTAAGCACATCAGTATTTTAAAATTATGTTTTTAAATGTTTTTTTTTTTAAATAAAATAATTGTTAATTACCAATAAAATGTACTAAGCATTGAGAGAAAAAATTTCTTTAAATTAACAAAATTTTATAGCGAATAAATTTTTTCATAAAAATCAATGATTAGAATTTTCATTTAAATGAATTTTATTACATTTTTAAGACGAATTTTCATTTTTTTTTTAGTATTTAACACGGAATTTCTTTTTGTTGAAACTGGATAGTTTATTTGGAAGTAAAACACGTATAAGATGAAAGATAAGAAATTGTAACAGATAAATTAAGACATTATTGAACAATTATAATGTTAATTTGACAAACGTAGAATTGACTTTAATGTAGATTCTTTACTGAATTCTTTAAGTGAGCCGTACAAAGTTTAATGCTATCCGCAGTACTATAATAGCACGACTGACAAAATTCTTCAACTCGGAATTGCACTCAGGTACCTCAAGTACCTGGTTTTCCCTTTCCACCTGAATTTTACTTAAAACCTTAAATATTTATAAATATCGTTGTATCTCCAACACTTTATAAAAAAAATTTTTACTCAACAGATTTTTTTACCGAATTTTTGTTTCCAAAAAATTTTTATTTTACATCAGAATTTCTTTTTATCCAAATTTTGTAAAATAAAAATTCTGTCAAAACCAAAATTCGATATACCTAAAAAAATCTCGTTATGTAAAAATTCGTTTAAAAATGAAAATCATAAATGTTAATTGGAAAAATGAAAATTGGGCTAAAAAATAGTTGTATCTAAAAAAATTCTTTAAAATGAAAATTTTAACTAATTATTTTTATAATGGGAAATACTTCCTTTACCTAATTTGCATATCTAGTGTTTTCATAAAAAGATTCTAGTATTTATTTCTATTTTATAAATTTCTGATCACACATCGATTCTGAGAAGCAAATGAGTTCAAATACGTGATTGAATGACCGTAAATATAAATGTTTAGATAATTATCACCCACATAACCATAAATTTTGAAACATAAAAATAATAGCTATTGTCCAAATTTAAGGAGAATATTATTAATTTTAATTATTTAATATAATGAAACGCGTGCTAACTATATCATAAGTTAAGATTGTCAGATTACAATAGAAATTTACGAATGAATAAACTAAATTATACAATTGAAGTTAATCGTAACAAACCTAACTTAATTCTCAATTGTACTAAATATGTTAATTTTTTTTTGAATTTAATAATTGTAGTAAAAATGGAAATTGGGTTTATAATTTCAAAACGTAGATTCAAACTTTTAAAGAAATTATTAAAATTAAATAAAAAATTATTTATAAAACGAAAAATCTTACCCTACACTCCATTTTTCCAGGCTTGATCTCCATCCGTAAGCAGCACTCGATTTCCAAATTGAAATGATGAAATTCAAATGATTATTATTTGACAAGTTATATTTATAATTTTGCAGAAAATTTAAGAATTTCGAAAAACACCCTAAAATTGTTCGCGGTTTTAAAAAAAATTCGAGCACTCCCGAAGCTAACTAAAAATTAAATTAACATATCGTCTCTTCTTATGTTATATGCTTGCAATATCTCTTGATCTTCATAGCCTGAAACATTAGGAAGAAAAAAATAACGGAAAGTTAGAAAAAGAAATAATTATTCCATTTCATAAAATTGGTATGTTAAAAATTCTTCATAGTCTTGTTTTTTTTCTGTTTCTATATCGGATCAGTAGATTAATATCTTCATAATCGCAAATAAAACGTTGTTTTTCAGATTGAACTTACTTTTAAAAACTTCCAAAAAAAAACATAAAATTACTTGCGTTAAATATACCTTAAAGTTTAAACTTTCGACTATAAAATCTTATCTGTACCTTTAAAGGCAAAATTATTGATTTTTTTTTTTGAACCCCAAAAAATGATTTTGAATACCTCTCTAGCTAAAGTTTTTAGATTTTAAATTAAGTTCGTCGGCAGATTAAGGGTAAAAATCTGTCTATCGACTTTCGAACTTATGGAAAAGTTTTACCTTTTGCTTCAGTATTGTCAAGCCTAGAAAAGTTTACCATAATTATGTTAAATTACCGCAACAGAATTTACCGTATAACTAATTGGTAAACTTTTCCAGTCTTTTTGTATAAAAGAAATTTTCCTCAAATTTTAAGAATTCAGTTTCGATGTAAATATACAACAGTGACATCAATGTCTCAACATAAAAAGAAATCGTATATGACGAGAGCAGCGTCCACACAGTGTATATAAAAGCAATTCATAAAATTAATTATGAGAATTTAAAAATTGAAATAGAGTTTCGTAAAATTGAAGACATACGTCAGTTAGTGCATTGCAAATGAAATATTTATAATGTATATATATATACACAAATCGGTGTCCAAACGTGACATGTATAGACTTTGACTTATATTGCGGTAGGTTATGGCTAAAGTTGTCTCTCTCTTTCTCTCTCTCTCTCTCTCACTCTCTCTCTCTCTTCTATATAATACCGTAATGACACGATATACATTGTCATGAACATAATTCGAAGTGCTATGTAATATCATTGTCGGCGAGCAAAGTCCGAAAGTGAAACGTCACTGACACTGTCTGGCCAACACACCAGCCGGCGGAAAAGATAGTCTTTCCTTTTTTTTTACCGGCAAGGTCATTCCCCAGATTCATATATACGACAAAACTCTATTTACCAGCAGCCAATGTAAACATAGGTGTTAAGACCACATATGCGGCTACTGAAGAAAGAGAAAGATTTCTATCTCAGCATCCTAACTAACACAATATCCATAGTAAGAATTTCTAATGATATATAAAAATATTTTTTTTTTTAGTTAAGAAACACTGAGGCTGTAACATAACCTTAATACTGAAAAATGGTTAATAACACAAACAAAAAATAGAAACTAACAAACCATTTTAGAAGATCTGGTTATACACAACCGGGGCTATTCTGTCATCCCAGGGGCTATTATGAACAACGCCAGTTTTTAATAAATTTTTTGTTTTCAAATATTCGAGTTTATATCGTTTCGAGTAAATATTGTCCTTTTCTACAGAAAACTAGTTAAATTTTTTTGAAATTCTGAATTTTGGCGAAGCGTAGAGTAAAAAAATTAGCTTCTTTTCTGAGTATAATAGCCCCGGTTGACGGTAATAATTTATTTGAAAACAAGATTTGGAAAAATTGAGGTTATGTTCGATATAATTATACTAAAAACAACACCGGGGAAAATAGTCATATTACATAATCTAAACTAAAATTATGGTCTTTCTTAAATTTTCTCTGTATATGCTTTGAATAACAATGAATAATATATATACGTGAAATAATCGTAAAACAAGGAAAATCACAGAAAACAAATTTCAATTGAGCAAATTTTTTAACTATAAGCTAAAAAAAATATATATATATATATAAATGAATAATTATGCTCGATAAATGCAAACAATTAAACCGATTTCATCATTCAGAATTGAAATGACTTGTTTGCCTTACTTAAACATTTGTTTTTGTTTCGATTTACAATTTTAATGTAAATTATTTAAAGTATTTTACAATTTAAACGAGATAAGTGAAATTTCAAGTTCCTTATCGTTAATACATACTCTCTAAAAATTAGTGGGAATTCGTTCTAAAATAGTAAAAATTTCTAGTTATTTTTAGTTATTAAAACATTAGTAAAAAATTATATTAATAAATCTTAGTAATATTTTATTACTTATTTTAATTTAATTATTTAATTAGTAAAAATTTCTTTTAAAAATATAATTTTTTAAAACACGATACGCCTCTTTTTGACAAAGATTGTAATATAAAATGCGTTAATCAGTACAGACTGAAACTGACATTGTTTATGTATTTCGCGATATATATGACCGACACACTATATATGTACACACACAGTGGCAATCATTAGCACCTTCGACACTACAAGTACTGTTTTTTAAATAAAAAAAAAAAATAATAATAAGAAATAAAAAAAAAGTGTTATTAAGAGTTAGCAATGGTTATACAAGTCATTTCATAACAGACGTGTTTCACTATATATTTCTCTAGTAATATTACACACGTGTTAGAAAATTTATGTGTAAAGAGATGCAATAAAAACAAAATCGAGAAAGTCTTCTAAAAATGATCAATGATATTTCAATATTCGAAAGTCACACGAGAAATAAAAAAATTTATTAATAAATATATAAATTTTATTTAATTTTTATATCTTATTAATATTTATTATTATAATCGCGATTATTATTATTTTTGATTATTATTACTATTATTAATTATTATGATTATTATTATTGAAAAATTAAAAGATAAAAAAAGTTAATATTATAATATTTGTCAATAAGTTTTCCTTGTAGAAAAATGACAATTTTTATGTGGGGGAAATAAAGAAACGCAATTTTATTACGATTTGACACTTTACTTGTGTCACCCAAATGAAAATAACGTCCTGCGTCTGATTGATTCTAATTGATTGAATGACCCTTGCATTCCGCAAATTACTGAACGATTATCCTTCTCTTTTATTTTTATTCTATTAATGATAACAATAATAATTTTTAAGATAAGATTTCCCAAATTTCATTAGAAGGGAAATTTAATATATATTAGAAAAAATGAATTATTTATTCGTGGAGATAAAAAATTTGTTTAATGCAAAGAAATATTTATTTGATAATAGTAAAAAAATAACGGATTATTTAAATTCAATATATTTTACTTTAAGTGTATTAATTTATAATATAATTAATATAAATAAAATTAAAATAAATCTTAAAAATACATTGAAGATGGCAATAATCAAATAATATCGACACGGATATAAACGCGTGTCAAGCGACCTAGTTACGAAATGTAATCAAGAATTATGCAAATGATTCCTTAACTTTATTAAAATGATTGTAACAAACTTGATTCGTCAATAACTGACACAAACAAAAATCCCACACACTCGGATTATTTAAAGAAAGAAAGAAAAATACATTTTCTATTATATGTAATTATAAAATTGCCTTTTTTATTTTTCTATATAAACCCAAAGATTTTAATTTAATTTCTTTTCTTAATTTTCAAAAAAAAAATTTTTAATTAAAAATTTTCTAAAACTGATAAAAATTAACTTTTTTCTAAAATTAAAATAAACGATATAATTAGTTCCTAATGCTAAGAATCTGTTTCACTATTAGGTTCTAACTCTAAAAACCTAATTCACTATTGGGTTCTAATTCCAAAAACCTAAAATTCCTTATTGGGTTCTAATTCTTTATTGGTTTTTAATTTTAAAAATTTAATTTTTTATTATGTTCTGATTCTAAGGCCCCAGTTCCATGTGAGTACAGAAAATTAAAAGGTATTAAAATAAGCTGCAACGCTTATTATTTTAATCCAATTTTGCTTATTTTAATACCAAAATGGATTAAAATAATAATCGTTGCAGCTTATTTTAATGCCTTTTAATTTTCTTATAGAATAGTGAAATGAACAGATTTGACCAGTCAGAAAAAGTTTTTAAAAATTCCAATCATCTGAATTGTCAAATCTGTTCCCCTATTTGACTATTCTATCTACATGGGACTGCAGCCTAAGAACCTAATGTTTTATTGTTATTTTAATAATAGTTCAGATTAAAGCTTCTAAAAATTAGTAAAAAATTTTAGGAACGTTCCATATTTTATGAGAGACTGGCGAAAAATTAATTTTGTTTATACTTCCTGATTTTATTGTATTTGGGGTGCTAAATAAGTATGCCAAAAAGGTTTTGCAAAATTTTTTAATATTTTCCAAGATATTTGCAATTAAACAATTTCGTCACTTTTTTCAGGAATTTTTATCTCGTAAACTATATTGATAGGAGAAAAAAACAACTTTCTAATTAAAAATTGTAGGGAAAACATATTGAAATTTGATAAATATAATTTTTTAAAATTAACAAAAGTTAATTTATTAATAATTTTTTACTGTTGTTTTTTATATGAAGATGGCGGCAGAATTTTTTTCTTTTTAAGAATTATCGCTCTATAAAAACGGCCCTAAACGTGAAAATGATAAACATTGATTTTAAAATACTTTCTTCTCGAAAGACGGACACTTTTTACAAAAAGCAGCTAGAGATCCTTATCTTATATAAATTTCCTAAATCCTAAAGATTATACGAATCCATACAAAAACACGATTGCAAAACGAAAAATAAAATAATGACAGGTACATTACCTCCTGCCGCCGTCAGATGGCAGCAGCATGCAGGGCGCACAAAGTCGCAGTTGTTATTAGATTGCTTTTCTACTTTTTGTTTTGCAACCATGTTTTTCTATGGATTCCTACAGTCTTTTGGATTTAGGAAATTTATAAGATGAGGATTTTGGCTGATTTTGTTAAAAGTGTTCGTGTTTCGAGAAAAAAGTATTTTAAAATCAATACTATTTCACGTTCAGAGCGATAATTAAAGGTCTCTTCTTGCCAAAAAATTTCAGATAAGAGACCATTCGACTCTCTTAAATAAATGTTGTCACTCTTAAAATCGTTAAAAACATTATAATTTAATTTTTTAAAATTGGACACAAACACTACAGCAATATAATTATTTTTA